CAGCCGTGCTCCGGCTGGCGGAGCGTCGTGAGGAAACGAAACACCGATGCTGATAGCAGATGTCGCTTCTCGCAGAACGAAGTTAAGTGCGAGTAAAGCTGGCAGCCGCACGAACAAGGGGAAGCACGGAGCAGAGAGAGAGTGACGAGTGACGACAAGCAATCAACCTGTAAAAGGGCGGAGATCGCCAAGCGTCGACCAAGCGAGCAAAGCAGAGAGCGCGAAGCAGTGGAGGAAGCCTGGTCAAACGGCTGCGAGGGAGAGGACAGCGCCATCGAATGCGCCGTGTGCCTGAGGGCACACCGACCAACGACCAGTGTGAACACACAAGACGTCCAGATCGACCAAGCGAGCATCGTGCCGACTCAACAATCAATCGAGCAGTGGAGAAGCCGGGGGCTGCCACCAAGAAAGCGCGTGCGCCACCTTGCGCCACCCTGCGCCACCCTGCGCCACCGTGCGCCACCGAGCGACACCGAGCGACACCGAGCGACACGAGCGACCGAGCATCTTCAAGGAGAACATCGTGCCAACGCCGCTCAATCCAGCAGTGGAGAGAGAGAGAGAGAGCAAAAGCCGAGCGACACGCCGAGCGAGGGAGCAGCAGGAGCTTGCGGCGGCCACGCCCAATCGAGAGGAACACCTGGCCGCTGTTTGTATCCTCCTACACCACACAAGCTAACGACACAATTAATATTACGAGGGGACAACGCACACACAGCACGCACACGAATAAGACTTTAAAAGAAAAACTGTCTTTGCGTTTCAAAAAGGGTTGCCATTTCGAGGTGGTGCGTTCAATATCAACTGATCGTGCAAAGCAGTTGCTGCCGTCGAGCTGCATGAATAAGAAATGTTTAGTCATTCATTTTCGTTAACTGCATAATTTCGCCAATGATGAAGTATTTTTAGTCATTCAATTTCGTTAATTGCATAAGATTGCCCATGAATTTATTGACGTATACTCGCTTTCGCATACTAGAGTGTCATGTGCTTGTTTAGAATTAAAATTGCTTAACACCAACTGTTCGAGTGCTTCTTTCCAAGTCCATGCAAAACTGTCTTATTCTTGACAACTGTATCCTGTGATGAGATCTGAACCTGGAGAATTAAAATAATATAAACACACTAAGATAATCAGTAAATGTTTAATCGACGATAATCGTGTTATCCTGATTGATATAACCCTGGATAAACGAAACCAAGCCTAATTAACATAACTGCACACATTAACATAATCGCAAGCATCTGCATAAATTACTACGATTATCATAATTTATGCATATAATTACACGCATTGTCATAATTTATGCATGTTAATACACACACTATCATAATTAATGCGATTTGCGCATTTTTCGGAAAATTATTAATTTTTATTATTTTTATAAAAAATTTCATAACCAACATATACAACAACGTGACTTTACCGAAAGAACCAAGAAGATGAATCCCTGCAGTCACGAAAGCTTTAAATCGAAATTTAAGTCCGATATCTTTGCCTCTAAATATGGGCAGCCTCTGCCCACTCTATCGTATGTCCTTTCACCCACCCCTTTTTATCACGCTCTCCAGCGGTCAAGAGAAGAGAGGCAATTTAACACACTCTGACCAATACCTGCCATTCGGTGAAAGAAGGAAATGACCATTGTGGCACAAACCGGCACTGGTGTTGCTTTTCATTTAATGCAGACGGCAATGGGGAAACATCAATTGAAATGCTGCGTCAAAAAAATAAGGTGTAGAGAGGATTCCAAGATTAAATATACGTTCAAAGAGCTTTAACGTGTCATTGTGCAGTTTGACATTTTTATTGTTGAAAATAAATTAACATAAATCTCTCTAAACTGATGAACACCAATGTAGGCAATCATAAAACTTAGGCAATCATGGAAACTATCAATTTCTGCTCCTTGCATCAAAGGAGAGTGCAGTACCTGTTTATTTACAGTTGAACACAGCTCTCTTCTACTAAAACTAAATGTTAGAAGTACCCAAGGGAATTCTAAATACTTGAAGAAATACTCTGCTGTTTGCTTAAATGTCATGCCAACGAAATATAAAACTGACACTGAAAGTAAATATAGTAAATACTCTTCATGGAAACCGCACCCTGTTACAAATAGGCACAGTACTCACATTAGTATACAGTTAATTTTGTTATATTTTTCCTTACAAACTAATATCCCCAGCTGCATGTTGTTTGTGATAAGCACGAGTGATGCTTTTTATTGCTGGTATAGTGTTGTCTGTAACATGTTTAAACAAAAAAGAGGCCAAATAATCATCTGTTATCCTTAGACCAAAAGGTACCTTTCGGCATGATGACAAAATTATATATTGAGTGTCACTCCTCTGCCCTCACTCTCATCTCTTTGAAGGGAGGTTGCGACTCGCGTGTTAGACTTCAACTGTCATTGCCTACTGCTTCTTTGATATTCGTTTCCTTCATCCTATTTAAATCTGGTGTGCCCCGACAGATCATACTCCTATGCTAGAGGACACTTTGAAAAAAATCAAGCACACCATAACGACTTCTACCACAGTTGATCTCGTATTACTATTGAGCAAGTGGGTTACTTAACGAGTAACAATTTATGCCCCATAACGTACAGGTTATGCTCTACAATTATAGAATCACACTTATTTATAGCATACACATTACGTACTCTATGCATAATGTGTACACGCAGAAGACAAACATACATACCTGCACTATATTAAAATATTACATTATTTCCCACAGAATTAATATGTAACATTTACTGTTGAATACAATTTACTGCGTGTTCTAAGAACATTTTTGGACCCATTTCAAATTAGGCGTGAGGATGGGAGGGACATTTGGTCGAGAATTTAAGGCATAGATGTAAATATGCCATGAAGGTCCACAGGGACATGGGTTTTATATACCACAAATCTTAAGAAGCTATTATTCTGACCTTTCTGAGAATTTACCATTTACAAGGGGCACACTGTTCCGTGAAACCAAGATGGCTAGACAACAATTTCCAGAGCCTGTCATTTGCCATCGGAGTGATATGTTGTTGAGCAAAATTCTCCCTACTGTGTGTGCCTCGCTCTGCTATGGGTATCCTAAAACGTCAACACACTAATCAATGACGCTGCCTTAAAAGGATACGCACATAATAGTTTTTGGGTAATAACCCTTCTTCATAACATGTGTTTTTTTTCCTGATTAGCATAACTCCAAATTAAGGTTCAGTGCAACTAGATGCCAATAGAAAATTCTATTTTAATAAATCCAGCCATTATCAATCGGCAAATGGGTTAAGGGACTTTTCTGTGCCATTCCGGTCAGGGGGGATAATTTGATTAGACCATATTTCACCACGCTGGTCAGTGCATACATTGATTTCGGGTTGCCGGATTCATAGCGCAGTGCACCAACCACTCTACCACCACTCCAACCACTGTGGCGAGTACGATTCCAAATTGCAGACAGATCAGTGGGAGAAAAAGCAGACATTTTACATTGTTTTAGTTATGGTGAACATTTATGGTTATTTTTAATCACTATACAAAATAAATTAATAACATTGTTAGTGGTGAAAAATGCTTTCGTACATTCAGGAATGCATGATGTGTGGGTGCATTTTTGTTTCATTTTTTTTGAAAGGTGGACTTTATTCTATTTACATATTTGACCTGACAAATGTGCTGTAAATTGTGTGATACATTTATTTTTGTAAAATGCATTTTAGACGTGAATATACACATACTCTTATAATGTGTATAACCTTTAAAGTAACCTACACAACACAATAAAAGCAACAGAAGTTCTGAGCACATGGAACACTCGGCCAATATTTTATACTATGAATGTCATCTACAGTAACAATGCAATTTATAACCAGGTGAGAATCCATTGAGACTTTTTCAAGGGAGGCCTGAGTCAAACTACGTCAAGCATAACAATTGTAGATTACAGCAATTATTAATGTTGCATCAGATAATAATAATAATAAAATAATATAAATTGTAGAAGGTCAAACATAACAGCAGAACAGAAAACTAAATAAAAATTGAAAGAAACACAAATCTTGGAGTAAAGAAATTTAATTGAAAGTGTAATTCGGGCTCTCAACAACAGAGACCAAAGCAATGAGAAAATACAAAAACAATTGTGCATGGAAATAACGAGGCAATAATGAGACGTTTTAGTGATCTCATTGCTGAGGATCGCTTCCATGTATGCCAAGACGCTGAAGGAAATGTTCACACGGGTTATTATAAGTGGCTATGGTACTGGCCATGAGCATATCACGTGGAATGCGCCCAGTTGTGTCAGATTTTCAGAGCTAGGCATTGTTTGAGCTTGCGTAGTACTTGGAATGGGCAAGCGCTGTGAACAAAATCGTGTTGTGTTCCGCTGCTGGGCTTCCTTTTGGGCAGCAGAGGACCATGCGACTTAAGCCACCGTTGTACTGTACTATGCTCCCATGTCTTTGCTCCCCACCTTTGCCAACCGACACTGACCAGCATGGAGAAGTACAATGGATTGCTAGAATGACTGCAAATGTTGTGGTACTATTTGCACATTGTTAAGCGTAACCATTTTATACTATTATTAAAGTTCTTAGACATGAATTTTATTTCGATTTAAAGCTTTCGTGACTGCAGGGATTCACATTCTTGGTTCTTTCGGTAAAGCCACGTAGACATGACTAAATACCATCATTGAAGATGGAGAATTATATACCGAGATTAGCTCTGTGATGTCATTTGGGGTTGTCCCGTGTGTTGTTTGGCATGGTGCTGAACAACACGCGGTGCAAACTGAAAGCACCTTGGAGAGCAATGGAGCACGACTGCCAACATCGACGCGGTATCACGCTGTCACAGAGCTCAAATGTCGTGTCTCAACGGCGACAAAGAGTTTCATAGCTCATCAGATTCCTCCACTCTAAATAAAGATTCTGAGATTGTTGGGTTGTTTCCACCCCACCCCTTATCCTTTTCTTCCACATTCTTTGCAGCAACAGGAACAGGATCCAACAAACCTGTACATCTCCAACCTGCCAGTGACCATCGATGAACAGGAGCTGGAAGGGATGCTCAAGCAGTTTGGCCACGTCATCTCCACTCGTATCCTGCGTGACATCGTGGGTACCAGCCGGGGAGTTGGCTTTGCCAGGTGAGCCGTGTGGAGGCTTCGTCTCTGTTTTGGAAAATAAAATAAAACCGCAACCAGTTTTATTCATCCATAATGGAGGTTTTTGTTTTCGTGTTCGATCGCGTAAATGTGAATGTGTCATTATACCCACCACCGCCCGACAACCTATTAGTGTAAGGTTTGTCAGGAAAGCCTACGTGTTAAACAGCATTATTCAGTGGGAATTAAGATAGTGCAAAGCGTCAGTGCCATGTTGCGGTGTGGATAGAGTAACAATGTGGAAATCGTGACAAATAAGTTACGTTGCTTGGCCTGTAGAACTGGGAAAGTCTCATTACTCCTAGCTTGGAATCACAATTCTATGATCAGAATCTAATATGATTCCCAGTCGGATTGTGGAATCGGCAACATCATCGAATCATGGGGATGACGGGCTGTGTGGAAACTGACATGGCATTCAAGGCCTATTCACCAGAAATGCCATTGAAATATATGGCCAATGGACACAGGAGTGGTTCCCAATCAATGTTATCAATATCTCTTTATTCTTGATATTTTTGCCACTTCTGGTGTTTCTGTGGATAATTGGGAGGACATAGCTAATGATAAAGTCAACGCAATCATTAAAAAAAATACCAGATATAGAATATTGTAATGTTGGTGTTTGGAATTTAGTTTGAGATTCAAGCTCATGGTTACCAACTTGACCACTTTGACATGCGTATATCTGTGTACTTAACATCAGAATGTTTTGATGACAACTTGTTAACACAATATGCGACGTTCTATGTCCGGCATTTATATCTCTGCAGAATGGAGTCTACTGAAAAGTGTGAGGCTGTCATTCAGCGGTTTAATGGAAAGTTTCTCACCTCCCCTCCTGGGGTACCAGGTGGGTTCTGCTTGCCACTTAATAATGGTTTTACAGAAACACATTCCTGCGGAGGGAGCTGGTAGGAACGTTGGGTTGCTCGGTCAATGGCCAGGGTCAACGGCGGCGTGGTGTATTCCGCAAATATGCCCGACTGTGAGGGCGGGCACAAGCCGGCGTGAGTAGGTTAAACGTTGAGTTTTATAAGGGCACCACGGGGTGACCAGCCCCCCCCCACCCAGCCCCACCCTTCCCCACCCTCCCCTCCCCACCCTCCCCACCCAGCTCCTCCCCACCCAGCCCCACCCTCCCCACCCAGCCCCTCTCCACCCAGCCCCTCCCTGCACGACGGACGGACAGACACAATAATCCCCTCCTGGTGTAACCAGGAGGTTCTTACCAGTATACTAACCTGAATACAAGAAAGGACTTAATAGTAAAACATTAGTAGGCATGTACTTGTGCACCAAACACAGCACATGCTTAAAACCCGCACTCGTCTGGCTCCAATGTTGGGTGGAGGAGCCAGTAGGTCTGTAAAACGATGCCTTGACAGCCCGTAACACCCCTATGAGAGTGGTCGCCAGGCCATGCAAAAGCAAGCAATTGGCATCCATAACATGGCAGTCTCGCTGCGGAAACGGCTGCATAAGGTCAGCGGCAGCTTTATGGACTGGAACTGGTCGATGTTGCCTGACTCGAGTGCTATGCACTTTTAAATCGAGATTGAAAACTCATTTCTTTAGAACTGCTTTTGGTGCTTAGTTTGTTGTCCTTCCGCTACACCTCCGATTAGCACGGTTGGCTACATATGTTGCGAAAGAAGTTCAACATTTGTACATACAAAATTGATGTATTTCCGTTTTAGATAGTTTGATCAGTGATGCCGGAATCAGAGAGAGAATTGTGGCTTAGCAAGGGTAAGAGAAAAATGCCCCCAGTGTTCTGCATATTTGCGACATATACAATACGTAACTATTTTTGCAACCTAAAATGTAAAAAAAGTTATTGTTTAATATCTTTGTTAGAATATTTAGTTGCCTTCTGCTGTGCTGAATGGCACATTGACAGTGATAGGCCTGTTTAATGAAATACTGTATACCTTTATTTTTTTTATGTTTTACTTATTTGGTTACCAGACATACTCGTATGCATGTTACTGGCCTACTTCCCATTAAAATCTCTCCTTCCAGAATTAATTTGATTGGATCAATTATGTGCTCCTCTCTGTTACTATTTACAGCACAGGATAAGGCATAGCAGATAAAAGCATTAACACATGCATGGATCTCTACCTTGAGGCAATGTAGAGCTCAGTCAATACTTGTGCTCCACTGGTTAGCGAGCATATAGAAGAATAGTGCCTAGTTTCCCATGCGAATAATCCTTCTGTAATATTACTTATAAATACTGCACATAATGGCATTACAAATTTAAGTTTTAAATAAATATACACTCATAGTAAGGCTACTGCATATATTAAAATATCACTAGAGTGGTGGTGCAGTGGTTCGCACACATGGGCACCTAAGTTCGATTCCTGGCCACGGCTGACATGGGTGGCAAGTGATGTCTGAATAATTTTGAGCAAACCCTCCTCCTGCATCAACCAGCAGTGATCTGCACGGTGAAATATGCTCAAACAACCTCCAGGGCTGACACAGCATCCATCCAGCAGTGGATTGACAATAGGCTGTAGATCATTATTATTATTATTATTGTAACTTCATGCATGTCTTCAGTGACATCTTTCTTGGTCATATTGTATATGGTTTATTGCATATTTCGCCAGTGTGTATTTTTGTTTAGATTATATCAAGCACATATGTATAGGGAATGCAGAGTTAGTGTATGGAAATGCACATTAATGATTGCAACTCTCCCTTGGGGCTCTGGATATTCCAGTTGCCAGGAAATTGAGGTAACCACATCCTGGCCCTTGTGGCTTGACCTGGAATAAATGAGGATGCATTTGCTTAATCTCCAACCAAACTATTACGCTCCACCTCTCGCATTACCTTTTATGCTTTACCCACCTATTGCCACCATATGCATGGGATGGAAGTGAAGGTCTGTGGGTAGTTGTGGTATCTAAATTTGAACAATTAAACACCATATTGCATAACATTCAAAACAAGCAAAATACAAACATTTTGATCGTGGTAATTTTATAAATGTACATTGGTGATAAAGTGTAGAAATAAAAATATGTAAAGACACAATGTGCATCTATCTGAATATTCACATTCAATTTGACTATGCGGCCACTGCAGTGAATATTGTGCTGGTCTATGAACAATCGTATTGTTTGTGTGTCATCTACGGCCATTGTCAAATAATGTTAGCAAATATGTGCTTCAATAATGTACAGTGCATGTATGCTATAATAATTCCGCCTTTTAACTGGAACATTTTAGAATAGTAATGCTGAAAAGTTTGTTATTAGGCCGTTAATATATTGATGTCACTACTGTTATTAATGATGGTTGTATACTTAATTAAACTACTTGGCATCAATATTGAATTGTTTTTTGATTTATTACGGCATTCGGCAGCATGAGAAGTAATGATTTTGAGGTGAACAGTGCTCTGAGTGCAGCAATAAAAAAAATCCCATTCAGTATATACATTAATTTTCTCTCTTCAGCCTGTTCTTACTGTGCATTTACATAATGTTTGTGGGCTTTAGTACGATATTAAAATACCTACATTTATGCAGTATCCCAGGGTAGGATTACATTTACATAATATATATATATAAAACCACGTAGAAACGTATGACAGATATATAAATCTCAAGGTTGCACTCCCACTGGTATTTAAGAACATTGCATTGTTATAGCCCACTCCTCGGGTGATCGGGCAATGTTCTTCAGTGTTACAATTAAGCAAGGTTCTTTAAGGCAGGGAACAACTCCACCTCATCCCTGCACCCTTGTACATCGCAACTTTTTGTCAGATACATAGGCATGCTGGAGGCTGGATGAAATTGGGGTTACGGTTGAGGAGTTCAGCCAAGGTGCAACCAAAGAGCCTGGTGAAGTGGTTACATGAGCGTGGACCAAGGTCACATGCTGTAAGAGATTTACCGTGAGATTAACAGTGATGGTGACGACTAACTTAACCATTGTAGGATACAGGCAAAAGCAACTGCATAAAAGATTTCGATTCATGCAAATTCAGTGTATGTATCCTTCTTCTTGGTTCTTTCGGTAAAGTCACGTAGAAGGGAAATAATAAAATAATAAAAATAAAACATAATCGGACGCTGTTTTTCCGACAGACCTGTTCTTCACCTGGGGACGGCTGCTTGCGTTGTGGCCGAAACGTCATGAGAATTGTATTTTATTATGTTTTATTTTTATTATTTTATTATTTCCCTTCTACGTGACTTTGCCGAAAGAACCAAGAAGATGAATCCCTGCAGTTACGAAAGCTTTAAATCGAAATGTATGTATTCTGTTCCCTCTTACAGTGCCCAGTGAACCTCTGCTGTGCAAGTTTGCAGACGGGGGTCAAAAAAAGAGGCTAAGCCATAACAAATACCTGCAGAATGGACGGGCATGGCAGCGCGAAGCTGAGGGCCGCATCGTAAGTCATTCTGGCTTTCACTTCTCATGCCCACACGCAACGATTGCAACACATCAAATGAGCTAACGTTGAGAGTGAAATGGAACGTAAAATGCATTAGTGTCATTAAAGCAAGTAAGGAACACATTACTATCTTATACTGCTGCCATTTGTCTAATAATTAACTTGCATTGTTTTATCTGAGATTTTTAATAAAATTGTATTGATGCCCTCTTTTTTAAACCACAGACTGGGATGACCTTAACGTATGATCCTGCAGCTGCTTTACATAATGGGTAAGCTTAATTGCACCAATTGTGCACATTTTATGAAATTATGCCCTTGTGGTTCATGCAAATTCAGTTTTTTTTTTTTACCGAATGTTAACATATTTGAAATTCTGTGCCTACCTCTAATTTAGCAGTGTTTTCATTTATTTAAATTTCTTAATCCTAATTTTTACTAATGGTGTTGAATATCGTGTTGAATATGGTGTAAAATATATCAAAACATTGTAAACAAAGCTTTATCATGCCATTGTCAATTCTTATTTCTGAAAGTGAAGTTAAATTTTCTTGTTTCTTTCGGTAAAGTCACGTAGAAGGGAAGTAATAAAATAATAAAAATAATTTATTACTTCCCTTCTACGTGACTTTACCGAAAGAAACAAGAAGATGAATCCCTGCAGTCACGAAAGCTTTAAATCGAAATGAAGTTAAATTGATGACAAATCCCGACTCAACAAGTAAAATGAAAACTTTAAAATGCTAAACAACAGCTTTACTCTTGGTATAATCATAACCCTGATTGGAGTTGTTACACTTTGTTGTGTGTCATAGGTTTTATTCTACACCGTACAGCATGGCAGCTAACCGCATGGTGTCCCACACTCAGATGGCACCGTACCTGGCTGCTAGCCCCATCTCAACATATCAGGTACCACAACACCTACACTCGAGACTGCATTACGCAATTCTCATTTCCAGGAGCCATGTAAATCGAGTTCGAATTAAAAAAAATGTGTGTCCTGCCAGCACGTTGCAATTTGTTTGTGTCAACTGGAGTTGGCTGTTAATTAGGGCGTGGTCAGAATTGTCTTTGGCCACGGTTTTTTCAGGGTTTGGCTTGAATTCCCGAAGTCGGAATTCTAACTGAACGGAAACACACACCACGAAACATGTTTTAAGACTAAAAGGCTGTAGGCGGTGGCATAATAAGAATAATAATTTTACATTGATTTTAACATCAAACAATTTACGTTTAATTTTGTCAGTGATATGGTCTTGACATTTTTCCTGTGGGAAGTCTTAATCTGGCAGTGTTTCTGGGAAAGATTTCCCCGACTGGTGATAACTCGACCTGCTCAGCAAATCATGAAAACGCCAATCTTTATTTGCTAACTTGAGTTGTCACTCGACTTTAGTTCTGGGAGAAGTAAGGTCAACCCAGTCCAACGCAGGGTTACTTGAGTTGGTTGTTCCATGGACACAGGGTACAAGTGTGCTAATAGGTGTGGGTAATGTGGTCTGCTTGAAAACGATTAATTTATTGATCGGTGTTTTAAAAAGCTAAAATAAGACAAATGTTTACTAAACAAATGTTTACATAACTACAATACAAATAATTCCAAATCAAATTCATTACACACTCATAATTAAAAATGTACAGTATCTGTTTCCCTATTAAAAAAACCCTGCATGTACACTTCAAATCCAGTAGTATTCAACACGGTGTTGGACATTACCCAAAGGTGAAATGATGAGTAGAATATACCAACGCTCTAAGCTTAGCAACACGAACCATTAATTAGCACATTGGGAATTCTGGGATGCATGCTTTTCATGAAATGTTCATACTCACAGTGAGGTAAGTGGGAAGCAAGGCATCGAAATAGCCAAATGAATGTGTACGTACGTGACTCTCTCGCGAGCGTTGCAATGTTTACATACATGGTGTGTGACTGCGAGTATTTTAATGAGCATGTACATGGTGGGTGAATGTGCTCTGCAGGTTCACAGCACGTCCTGGATGCCCCAGCAGCAGTATGTAATGCCACCAGCGGTAAGCCATATCAGCAGGAACAGAGGTGCAATAATTCCCTCAATTAGGGCACAGGCACACAGAGCCCAACCAGCCCTCCTTGAGGCACACTGGCATTTCTTAATGGATTAACATCACAGGTGACATTCACTAAACTAGGCCAAGTTATCCCTTAAATGTAACGCCAGTGGGTATACTTTTGTTTACAGCATATCAGTCAAAGTAATATGTTTTGCATGAAAAGTAATTGTGTGGAAATAGTTTATTTTATCGAATTATGTTTATTTGCTGGACATTTTCTTTTTCCACTACATGTCCTTAAATTAATTTCTCCACGTATATGTTTTATTTATCTGCAGCTTTCAAGCTGTCAATACATAATTTATTGATACTATTTTAATAATAAAATCAAGGTTGGTCATGGAAGAGCCATTTCTCGTGTCCTCATAAATTAATCAAGGACAGTAACATCTCCTGTGCATACTGCTACACGCAAACATGTTTTCCATCTTCCTGTCATGATAGCGTAACACTGCACTGTGTGGCTTGTATGGCCTCCAGGGCGCTGTGATATCTCCTTCCTTGGATCACACCATGTCCTTGCAGCAGGCAGGAATGATGGGACCCCTCGCCCAGCAGATGAGTCACCTGTCACTGGGCAGCACACCCACCGTAAGTATCATGATAAAAGCACAGACGCGGATGGCCTTAAGAAAGCCAGCGTTGAGCTCAGATGAAAAAAAAAAACCTTTCATGAATAAAAGCTACCCTTTATTCATTTTCTTGTTATGTTTATTGGTCACATATCACAAATAATGTTTCGTTTTTCCGCAGTTGACATCTAATTTGTAAAGATGCAACAAAATATACCTTTATTTTTTTTTACTTTTTCCATATTACCTGTGAAAATATTATTTCATTTTTACAATTAATAACACACTGTCAATGCATTACTAAGCAGTACTAATTTAACGTGCAGTATCTTTAAAAATCCCTGTGATCTGCCTTTCCCACACTACATGTTATTTCTAACAATGCCATCATACAGCATAAGCAAATCCATGTATCTATTTAAGCTAATTATACATTAACCAAATAATTTATTCTGTTCTCTAGTTATTAGGCACACAGCCTAATCAATAATTTATGCATGCTGGAATTTATCTAATGGCTTCACATTTGAGTGGGTTAAATTGACTTTTTTTGAAAGCAGGAAGACATGTCTTTGACACCTGTATCAAAGACTGCCACCTGGTGCACCATCTTAATACAGCACCTGTAGAGATATGCTGGTCAGAGACAAAGGTCATCAACAAGGTTGTGACAGTTGAGAACCACGGCTCTTTGGTTGCAGGTATAGCTACATAAGTAATAGACTACATGGAGAGTTTTGTATGATTAATGTGGGCTGTTGTGGATTAAATATTTACCCATGTTGTTTTTTTGACAGTACATGACAACCGGACACCAGGGCACTTACATCCCCCAGTACACCCCTATCAATGCCTCATCAGTCGATGTAAGTTTTACCTTTGACTCTTAGATTATTTGATATGGACTTTAATAATACACATATGCTGACATTGCCTATCAAGAATCATTAAGTACACTAACTACTGTGTACTTATTGTCTTTTACAAAATCGTAACATTGTGATATTTTCTGGGAGGTTGCTTGTCATCTACTCAAAAAACCATCTCAAATGTACTTGGTTATACAGTTGAACTCTGCGGCCATATGCGGATGTTTTTTTCGTGGAACCTGTAATCTGCGACAAACTGTGGTAATTACTCAAAAAATCCATAACAAATATTTGCAGGGACATAGATAGAGAAAATAATAACAATAAAAATACAAATAAAGTGAATTCAATAAAAATGAAAATAAAGTGAATTCACTTTATTTTTAATTTAAAATTTATTGTTGTTACTTTTTTCTATCTACATGACTTTACCAAAAGAAACATATAATATTAATTCCTGCAGTCACGAAAGTTTTAAGTCAAAATTTAAACATTTGCAGATTAAAGGAACTGCATGGAATGTGACTAATAAACGCTCCAAATGTCTCGATTTAAAGCTTTCGTGACTGCAGGGATTCATCTTCTTGGTTCTTTCGGTAAAGTCACGTAGAAGGGACGTAATAAAATAATAATAATATAATAAAATAATTATTTTTAAATACTTTTTTTTTTTTTTTATTACTTCCCTTCTACGTGACTTCACCGAAAGAACCAAAAAGATGACTCCAAATGTCGTGAGAATATTACAAATTGTCGGATTTTCACTATTTATTTCCAAAACCTAAATGGAGAAAATATCCCATCATCTCATTCCCATCACCACAGTGTCTCTCGAATTCTACGAAGAATTCGCCGCCCTCCCCAAAATGTGAACTTTAGAATTTTCAAAATGCCCTCCGGAGAGGCTTTCTATAAAGCTCCATCTAGTGGAGGCCTTCCGCCAGCAGTGGTGGGAGCAAGCATTTGCAGGGCTGTGCCTAAATTTCTATTTAAAGCTTTCATGACTGCAGGGATTCATCTTCTTGGTTCTTTCGGTAAAGTCACGTAGAAGGGAAGTAATAAAATAATAAAAATAAAACATAATAAAATAATTCTCACGACGTTTCGGCCACAAGAAGAATTCTTCACCTGAGGACGGCTGCTTGCGTTGTGGCCGAAACGTCGTGTGAAAATTATTTTATGTTTTATTTTTATTATTTTATTATTTCCTTTCTACGTGACTTTACCGAAAGAACCAAGAAGAGGGCCATGTGTCTGTTTAAGCCTCTTTAGATTCTGAGTTCCTTTCGGATTTGTTTTCTTTATAACAATATGCATTTCAATCTTGATTTGAAGCTTTCGTGACTGCAGGAATCCATACTCTTTGGTTGAAAATAAAATACAATTTTATGCATTTCTTTACATTGGAATTCTCTCTTTTAGGACTCTAGCGGGCAGCAACAAGGAGTCTCTATGGAGGCCACAGAGCATACCCAGTACTCATACCAACAAGCAAAGTGATGCAAGGTATGAATATATACTGTTGTATTGAGATCTTGTACCACATCGCACACTCCCGAAATTTGGAATTAAACTGTTTGATCATAGCTGTTTCTTTTTTTATATTGAGCGTGATTTTTTTTTTCTATTAAAAGTACGGTATTTTTTTTTCAGATGAAGCCTGACTTGAAAACTGGCTGATGAAGAGATCAAAGTTGCCTTCAACCTGAAGTGCTTTTGGCATGGATGCAATTTTATTATTATTGTTCACTACGGAAAGGTTAAATTTTAATATCCACAAAATGTCAATTCAAATAACTTTTCCACATCCCTACTTTCACACCATCTGTACTTGTAACATGTTTATTTTACCAAAAGTCATTTAAAGAAAAAAACTTGAAATTATCAAAAGATATATTTTATAAAATCTTTGTTTTGTGGGTTCTGATGGTGCTTATATTATCGTGATAACTGATTTTTTTAAAATCAGTGTTACATTGACTCTGCCAGGATTTCCTAAACATCCTGGAACATTTACAGCACAGTCTTTGGCTTTGCTACATCCATTTATAGCATAATCAGAACTTTTCTGGGTCATTTTGTTTGTGGGAACCGGTGGGGCTTTAAGGCAATGGTGTTTGTGATTTGTATTTATTTATTTTGTCATTGGTGTTGTAAATCTTTCAAAGAATGTTCAAAGAAAATGATCAGCAGTTGTTTTCGCCTTATTTTATAGTTTTGGCTTTTGTGTGTCCTTTGAAATATTGATTGCAATTAAAATTTCTGTCATTGAGACTGTAGGACATGCGAATTGCTGGTGATTGGTGTATATTCTTGCCGTGCTGTAGGTAATGTTTTCGATGTAATAGTATGTTACGTCATTGCGGTCTTCGTTCTTAGAAGATGTTTTCCTTCATTGTTTTTGTTACAAAAGGAAATTTATGGATTTTTCTGATTTAACGTTTGATACTTGTTTTAAATGGGAAAACTAATTCTGAAATCTTGTAGGATAGATTTTATGAAAAAAAGATACTGCTATTTAAATAAAACGACAAAAACAACAAAAAAGCAAAACAAAAAAACCTAAAAATACCTTTGTGAAGCGGGATTTGGAGTGGACATCTGTATGTTTAGATACGAGTGCTGATAATCTAAGTGAGAATGTTTTTGAGAAGTTATTTTGAACCAATCCGAGACTAATTTTAATAGAAATAAGGTTTATCTTTGTGTTGAATACTTCCTGAACCTTCACAGCAAGAAGACGGTCAACAAACTTTAGTTGATTTCAAAATAAAGATGTTTTTAACAATGCATTAAAAAAACGTTACAGTAATGGTAATAATATATATTAGTTTTGAACGTGTAAGGGCTGTGTGCTGGCATGGAATCAGACTGTCACTTGTTTCTGGAAAACAACAATGAGGACACGATTATTAGGATTGTTCAGCGAGAAGAGGAGAAAATAGCACTTGTGTGAGTTGCAGTTGTGGAACATGCTTTGGTCAGGTTGGGTCATTAACCAAAGACTTGGATGTTCTCGTAGCTAAGTAAAATCTTTGGTTTTGTTTTGGCATGAATGTGCAGGGCAAGTGTGCGCTTTTGTCTTTCTAGGTGCATTTAAATGAAGGCTTAAAACAAATAAAAAAAACTGGTGTGTGCACCATAGTTATTGAAAGTTAAAGGGCAGTCTCTCCCAGGTTTGTTCCCTTGGAATATGCAAAGGCTTCCATCATGCTTGAAGCTGGAAGGGTTACTGGGAATTAAGTCTTCCAGTGGGGATACCTCCTGCTTTGTACCAGGAGATGCAGATGATGATATCTACCTCAGATTGTTTCTTCAATGTCGGCAGCTTGCGTGGTCACAATGGGCACGTGGTTGTAAGCGCTGCATTCATGAGTTTGAAGTTGTGTATGTGGGCACGTCTTTAAAGCAAGCCTGATGTTGTTGCACAGAAAAGAGTATATCCCAAGGAGCAATGATGGTAATACAACTTGTGGAGAGTCTGCAAGGTGTGCTTTTACTGGAAAGTGCTTCTCATGTGGCTGCCTATCCAGATAGCATTGCCCTGTTCTTTAAAGAATGGGCAAATTGTCCTGCTCATTGTGTTCGATTGTAAATGTCAAATTACCTTTTTAAAGCTCTACAATTTATGCTGCTATATTTTCAATGGCCAGTTAGTCACAGATCGATTGGTTAAGCTGGCCGATTCGAATAAACGCAACACCATAGCCACATTCACCGCGTTTGCAATGTGGAATAGATGAATTGATATTGGATATATGCAGTTTAAAATACATTGACTAAAGTAATTATTAGAAATATTTTAACATACCCATTGATGCTGCTTTAAATTATGCGACTTTGTTGTTTACGAACAATACACCATTTCCACCATGTCTTGTTTTATGTACATAGAGCAGCTTCCACTGTCGTATGTAGACAGATGTTAAATTATCAAAAGTATAATTTTTAAGAAAGGCCTTTTGTACAGAATGAGATACGTGTATATGATCACAAGAGTGAATGATTTGTTTTTTTAATTTGTGTTTGTGCTGCCTGGACTTGCCAGTGGGAATTGTATCAGTGCCCCTTTTGGATGATTTTTTGAATTTTCACGCTGATGGTAAATGACTTTGCTGTAGAATTGTGGGGGTTAATGCTGTTTGGAGCTCAGAGTGAAATACTCTGTGCCAACAAAAAAAAACGAATAAAAATAATATTTCATTGGTTGTGGTGGATGTTTTTTTTTGCAATTGTAGTACCGTACTGTGTTTCATTGCGTAGAGTGATTGTTTTTGTGTAGTAGCATTGTGCGGATAGATTTTAGCACGTGACTATCCACACACCACATGAATGTGATGTCTGCAAAAAAAAGAAACTGCTTCTTTACATGTCACTTAAACTAATAGTTACAAAATTTTTTAAAACCCTAATTTTACAAATGTGCTATCAGTATGTATATACCACGGACGTACAGGCAGGGGAGGCAGAGCCTCACCTGTCATACTCCAATGAAAATAGCTGTTACGAAAAGTAAAACAAAAAGAATAATCAAATCAAATAAATATTAAGATTTTTTCCAGTGATCTGTGTTATAAATGTTCTTTTTGTACGATTCAAATCATTTTTATAGTCAAAATCGCCAAATTTGTGGAGCTCCGCTGCAAATACAGGAAGAGACGAGAGGTGAGGCAGTGACGAGTTCAGCCTCCCCTCTGATTGTGCAACCCCTCAGTAACTGGATGGAGCGTGGGGCAATAAGCACGTGCCTGTTACTATCTCAGTATGTCACCAATGTAATGTTTGTAGACCCCTTCATTTCATGTCCTCACCTTCCATACTCCAGGTAACTTATTTCATGTACGTGTATAAAGATATTTAGGCTCGCTGGTCTCGTCATAAAACTGCAATGAAAAAACACCAGGGGAGGCAGCTATCACATCTGCCTCACTGAGGGGGACGTGTCTAACACGCCCCCCTCAGTGAGGCCACGCCTCTCTGAGGCCACGCCCCCCTCAGTGTGAATCTGGCTCTGACACGAGCCAGTGCCTCCCCAGCCATTGACCTCACCGCACGTCAACTGGTGTGCACTGCATTTTGAACGTTTGTCGCACGAAACATATTCAACCGTGCTTATCGGAGCATCATGTCATTAGATGAAATGTCCATCAGATCTGAGAGCATTGTGAGGCTTCGTCAGGTGACGACCCAATGAAACGAACACCACAGAGGTAACTCTATCCCTTGGATTCAGTCGGGGGAAGCACCTCTCCTCTCCGCCCTGCATGCAAAAATAGCGTTCGTCACTCGACAGTCAACCAGATATTTTAGTTCTCGGAGCTGGCATTTATCCACATCAAGTGAAGTCCAAACTTGAATATAATAGAGTTTTTTTTGTATTCGTGCAGTGTGACCAGTCTGAGACAATTAAGTCGTCACACCTGAGAACCCAGTTTACATCACAAGCAGCTTGGCCTGGATTTGAACCCACGTAGCTCGGTCGTGCAAGCTCAGCACTCTGACCTATTGAGCCCCTCAAATCTAAAAACCGGTTCAAATATCACCACACCTGATAATTGTTTTTTTTTACCCTTCTATCTGGCAACAAAACTGACACCGTTTTTTACCACACCTGTCAACCCAGTGAAGGAGCTCATGAAGAACATGGAGGTCACATGTAAGAGCAAAGAGGTCTCGTTTGTTCGTGAAATATTGAAAAGCTTCGACTTAATGCCAAGGCTACATGTAATACAGTTTCAGTGATACTGATCAATGGACTGCATTGGTAGTGTCATAATCAACACTGCCAAATAACAGTAGGAATGCTATACTATAATAGGCAATAGGCCTTACAAATCATTACCATACTGCATCACTGATACCTGTCAATCCCTTATCACTGCCTACCTTATTACAGACCAATTCAGACCTTATTGGTCACCTCGTGCCCTTATAAATCTCAGGGTCCATCCTACAAAGTCCCATCACAAGGGAAAAACACAAATGGACAACAAAAATGTTGCCCGTATTGATACGGGCTGTATCGCCACATGGACCTGAAACCCCAATTTCCCCTGTACAAGAATACGGGGTAGTTCGTATAGGTCCACAGCTATACACCAACCACCACCAACCACCGTCATCATCATCATCATTACTCGCCACTGACGTGAGCCGCGAAGTAGCCGGTGCTGGTGGTGGCCAGAGGTCGCAAACGGGTTTTTATTCGATTATTGGTTTTTTACCCTTTTATCTGGCAACTAAACTGACACCTTTTTTACAAGGAGTCATGTTTGTATAGACCACAATACCTGCAGTCATAATGCAAACAAAAAACACAACTCTGATAATGTATGCACTGTCCTTGAAGTTGATTGGTCCACACCCGAGACAGCTTTCCTTAGAGCCTAGTCTCACATGGTGTTGGACCAGATGACGCATTATGACTGCAGGTATTGTGGTCTATGCAAACATGACTCCTTGTATAAAAAAGGTGTCAGTTTTGTTGCCAGATAAAAGGGTAAAATACCAATAATCATATTTTGCTACTGGCAAATGAGGTTCCAATGGGGTTTTGATTCCTTACCTGTACCCGGCCGCACCAGGGTCGCAAACGGGTACCCGTACCCGGCCGGGTACGGGTAGCCGGGTATCGGGTAGGGTACGGGTATCGGGTACCCGGTTGCGACCTCTGGTGGTGGCACAGCCCACGGTGACCCCCATCAGTTTGCTGCGTGGCAGCGAAATGACGACTGCGACAACCGAGTCGCCCAGAAAGTGACGGCGCGATGGAGGAGGAGGAAGGGGTCATTGCTGGGAAACCCCGGCGCAGACAGACAGCAGCAGCAGCAGGAGAAGCAGCTCTTCGTCTTCCACGTCATGCACTCAGAAACACTCGTAGGACACTAATCACGAGTCCCGAAAGTAGCAAACGCGACGGTTTATAGAGCAGACAGACAGACGCACGTGCAAGTGTGCGTGTGTGAGAAACGACGTGGCACCTTGTCCTGAGAATAAGACTCGGAGGGTAGATTTTACTACTGTCTATCCATTGTGCCGTGCGATCACTAACAGCTGACTCATAGCTGCTCACCTGTGTGGCTATAGCTGACTCATAGCTGCTCCCCTGCCTGGCTACAGCTGACTCATAGCTGTCACCTGTCTAGCTACAGCTGACTCATAGCTGTCACCTGTGTGGCTACAGCTGACTCATAACTGTTACCTGTGTGGCTATAGCTGACTCATAGCTGTCACCTGTGTGGCTACAGCTGACTCATAGCTGTTACCTGTCTAGCTACAGATGACTCATAGCTGTCACCTGTGTGGCTACAGCTGACTCATAGCTGTCACCTGTCTAGCTACAGCTGACGCATAGCTGTCACCTGTGTGGCTACAGCTGACTCATAACTGTTACCTGTGTGGCTATAGCTGACTCATAGCTGTCACCTGTGTGGCTATAGCTGACCCATAGTTGTCACCTGCCTGGCTGGCTACAGCTGACTCATAGCTGTCACCTGTCTGGCTACAGTTGGCTCATAGCTGTTACCTGCCTGGCTATCGCTGACTCATAGCTGTTACCTGTGTGGCTATCGCTGACTCATAGCTATCACCTGTCTCGCTACAGCTGGCTCATAGCTGCTCACCTGTGTGGCTATCGCTGACTCATAGCTGTCACCTGTCTCGCTACAGCTGACTCATAGCTGTCACCTGTCTAGCTACAGCTGACTCATAGCTGTCACCTGTGTGGCTACAGCTGACTCATAGCTGTCACCTGTCTAGCTACAGCTGACTCATAGCTGTCACCTGTCTAGCTACAGCTGACTCATAGCTGTCACCTGTGTGGCTACAGCTGACTCATAGCTGTCACCTGTCTGGCTTTATCACAACAGCAGCCATGCTCATTCAAAGGTCCATCTTGCACAGGGGCAATGTTCCCTAACGTGGCTGCCACGCTGTGGTTTGTCTTGACCGCCGGCCATCGTCACTCCTCGCCTTGTTCCCTGGCCAAGCCCACGGACTTACTTTTCCTAGCAGTACAAATTGTCTCTAACCTTGCGGGTTCTCTCTCATTAATGTGCTCCGCTTTTCATCTCCCAGTGTAACCCCAAGCATGCACACCGCCGTGCCTCTTTGCAAACATTTCCGTTCGAAACAGAGCAGCAATGAATGTCGTAAATGTGAGCCCAGAACCGGCCCTAGACCTTTGGGGACCCTAAGCAAAATTTGGTTGGAGGCCCCTTTGATGTATGATTTTTTTCACCCACTAGCTAGCAGTGACTCTAGGGGAGCCCTCTGCTGGCCACGGGGCCCTTTGCAATTGCAAGGGTCGCTTAGTGGCTGGGCCGGCTCTGTGTGAGCCAGTCATTCGTCATTGTGGGATAACGATCGGGTTTGCAACCAGATGTAGAGAGCATTTGAGCTGCCAACAATATTTGTTTCCGACAATGTGTTTGCAAATCGTGCGCGTTGATGTACCTGCGTTTCCATGCCTCCATCGTAAGCAATGGAGCTGGAGGGATGCTCGCCAGAGTCTCGTCGCTACCTGATCGAGTGCTTTATGCCAGAAATACAAAAGCTCGTGCAAGCCTCATCCTGTGTTGCCTCTTTTAATTGTCACATTGAGCGAGTAAGAACGCCAGCAGGTCGAGAGCGTGGAGAAAACATGTAAGAACAAAGCCGCGAAGCTCCTCTTTGACAAGATTAAGATGAAATTCTAGATTTGAAGCTTTCGTGACTGCAATGATTCATATTCTTAAGTTTTTTCGGTAAAGTCACATAGTTAAAAACATTAAAAAAGTAAAATAATTATATAAACGGAGTGGTAAATGAGAGATTGCAGGAGCTACCACTCCGTTTATATAATTATATAATTAATATAAACGGAGTGGTAGCTCCTGCAATCTCTCATTTACTTGATACAGCTGTCGTGGCTGTGACGGTACCAGCTGAAGACGGAAGCTTGTGTTGCCTCCGAAACGTCGTGATTTTAATTTTATTTATTTATTTATTTTACTTTTAATGTTTTTACCTACGTGACTTTACCGAAAAAAACCTAAGAATATTAAGATGAAAGTCGGAGAATCTCGCTGCTTTGCCGAGCTCCTGATGCCCCTGCGAGTAACGAATCAATTGCACGTGGCGGCATATATTGCTGACGACTCGGATGCAGTGGCGGCTCCTGCAAAATCTCTCAGGGGGGGCAAATGTCTGGATGATTGATAAGG